GGACAGTGAGAGTACACCCCTACTGGACAATGAGCACACCCCTACTAGACAGTGAGACAGAGTACACCCCTACCGGACAGTGAGCACACCCCTACCAGACAGTGAACCAAGTCAGCAAGCCTGACCACCCGATCCCGTTAGTTGCCTCTTACAACAATCATGGGTTGCTGAAGACTGCATTAGTACTGGATAGAGACTTCATCCTAGTACTGGATAGCGACTTCATCCTAGTACTGGATAGAGACTACATCCTAGTACTGGATAGAGCGAGCCTACATCCTAGTACTGGATAGAGCGAGACTACATCCTAGTACTGGATAGAGACTTCATCCTAGAACTGGATAGAGACTTCATCCTAGAACTGGATAGAGACTTCATCCTAGAACTGGATAGAGACTTCATCCTAGAAATGTATAGAAACTTCATCCTAGAACTGGATAGAGACTACACCATAGTACTGGATAGATAATTTGTTTGTTGTTTAACACCGCACACTCAGCAATATGTCAATTCGTAAACAATCAAGTCTGGACCAGACAATTTAATGATTGACATCATGATCATCAATCCACGCATATCGGGATACGATTTCATGCAGAAACCAAGTCAGCAAGCCTGACCACCCGATCCCGTTAGTTGCCTCTTACAACAATCATGGGTTGCTGAAGACCTATTCTAACCCCGGATCTTCACAGGTCCACCCAACTGGATAGTGAGAACTATCCTAGTACTGGATTGAGGGTAAAGCTTCTGGAATGAGAGTACATCCTACTGGATAGTGTTCGTTTGTTTATTTGTTGTACACCCCTACCGGACAGTGACCACACCCCAACCGCCCCGTGACACACCCTACCGGACAGTGAGAGCACACCCCTACGGGACAGTGACCACACCCCTACCCGACCATGAATCACCCCTACTAGACAGTGAGACCACACCTCTACCGGACAGTTAGTACACCCCTACCGGACAGTGAGAGCACACCGCTACCAGACAGTGAGAGCACACCCCTACCGGACAGTGAGAGCACACCCCTACCGGACAGTGAGAGCACATCCCTACCGGACAGTGAGAGCACATCCCTTCCAGACAGTGAGAGTACACCCCTACTAAAAAGTGAGCACACCCCTACTGGACAGTGAGAGAACACCCCTACTGGACAGTGAGCACACCCCTACTAGACAGTGAGTACACCCCTACCGGACAGTGAGTACACCCTTACTGGAGAATGAGCACATCCCTACTAGACAGTGAGTACACCCCTACCAGACAGTGAGTACACCCCTACCCAAAAGTGAGCACACCCCTACTGGACAGTGAGAGTACACCCCTACCAGACAGTGAGCACACCCCTACTAGACATTGAGTACACCCCTACCGGACAGTGAGTACACCCTTACTGGAGAATGAGCACATCCCTACTAGACAGTGAGTACACCCCTACCGGACAGTGAGTACACCCCTACCCAAAAGTGAGAGTACACCCCTACTAGACAGTGAGCACACCCCTACTGGACAGTGAGAGTACATCTCTACCGGACAGTGAGAGTACACCCCTACTGGAGAATGAGCACACCCCTACTAGACAGTGAGTACACCCCTACCGGACAGTGAGAGTACACCCCTACTGGAGAATGAGCACACCCCTACTGGACAGTGAGTACACCCCTACTAGATAGTGAGCACACCCCTACCGGACAGTGAGAGTACACCCCTACCGGACAGTGAGAGTACACACCTACTAGACAGTGAGTACACCCCTACTTGACAGTTAGCACACCACTACCGGACGGTGAGCACAGCCCTACTGGACAGTGAGAGTACATCTCTACCAGACAGTGAGAGTACACCCCTACCAGACAGTGAGCACACCCCTACTGGACAGTGAGAGTACACCTCTACCGGACAGTGAGAGTACACCCCTACTGGACAATGAGCACACCCCTACTAGACAGTGAGACAGAGTACACCCCTACCAGACAGTGAGCACACCCCTACTGGACAGTGAGAGTACACCCCTACTGGACAGTGAACACACCCCTACCGGACAATGCGAGTACACCCCTACTGGACAGTGAGCACACCACCCCTACAGGACAAAGAGTACACCCCTACCGGACAGTGAGTACACCCCTACCGGACAGTGAGTACACCGCTACCGGACAGTGAGTACACCTCTACCGGACTGTGAGTACACCCCTACTGCACAGTGAGTACACCCCTACTAGACAGTGAGCGTACATTCCTACTGGACAGTGAGAGTACACCTCTACTGACAGTACATTTTGAATAAAGGATACTTTGTTCTGTATTCAGAGGATTAAGCTTGGTTGGTGATTACTTAAAGGTGATTGGTCCAAAGTTCCCAAACATTGTTGCTAAAAGGTTTAGAACCGAACAAAAGATGCATGTCACCAACTTGAACCAAGGCTATGGCTACAAAACTAGAGACTTTAAAAGCAACATGCACCAGACACTTAGTTCACTGTTCACAGATATTTTCTCTAAGAACAACAGTCAGCCACAGTGTAAAAAACAGCAAAAAGTCACTGAATAATCATCCTCTCGTACAGTAATTATTAATAGAAATAAAAAAATAGTTATCAATGTGTATAATTCTAAGAATACTACCTCTGTTACATCATGGCCATAAATTCCCATGTTGGCCATCAATAGATTTTCAATAGAAGTCCTCTTTACTGCCAACTATCTCTGAACAAGTTTTGAAGCAACATCTTCTCAGGATTAATGCAACTGTGCATGCGTGACACAGTAAATCATCACTTCTTTTCTCTGTGTATTGAAGTAAACATCAAAATAAATTTGATCACGTTCAGCAGAAATTTGGATATGTTTTCACACCATAACTTCAAGATCATCTTCAAAACAATGATACAACATCAGACACTGGTAGTTGCTGGGAGTACTAAGATAAAACGTTAATGTAACTGACGATAGTTAGTTGACGTATTCTGGGAGTCAGACACTCCCTCTCCATCAGCGTCTCCCTCTCCATCAGCGTCTCCCTCTCCATCAGCATCTCCCTCTCCATCAGCGTCTCCCTCTCCATCACTCTCTCCCTCTCCCTCTCCATCACTGTCTCCCTCTCCATCGGCGTCTCCCTCTCCATCAGCTTCTTCTCAGGGTGAGGCATCGACCAGGTTGTCAGATACCCTTACCCTTGATGCCAATCGTGCAAGAAAAGTATGTGCACGCCTTCACTGAGATGCTCTTATTGCAAAGATCTCTCAAAGGAGACGTTTGAAATACTCTGTATAGCCTGAGGCTCTCCTGAGGATAAATTAGCAAGGAAAACTAGAGCCTCTACTATATCATCGCCTAAAACAAAAACTAAACTGAAGAAAGTGTCCATCATGGAGTAAAATCCACTGACGGGTACTCGACGACAAGATTGTGTCGAATGAGGGCGACATTGATCCTTGAGGGGAAACCTAATGCCTCATCCCACCTGTCTAAAGGAAAAAAAGAGCAGTTGAACCTTCCTATTTTGTTTGTTTTGTTGAAATAGATCCAATGATGAGCGTTTTGTCCTGCAGGGAAGGGCATCTCCCCAAGGCAACGGAGTTAACTGACTGTCAATGTCCAGTTTCCACCCTCTCTGAACTACAGTGGAATTTCTGGGCTCGATAATAGCGCCACCAGTGGCTATTACAAATTTTGTCCCTTCTATTGACCAATCAGATTCCACCTCTCATATCACTTGCATTTGCTTCAAACAAAATGGTGGCGCCCAGTCAAGACGATCTGAGCGATAATCAAAATCTATATTGTGATAAAATGGTTCTTACTAAGCGAAGTGCATAAAATCACTTGAGCACCTTGATTAAAAAGATGAAAAGATTTTGAAAATACATGTTGACATCAAGTCATATGCTTTGCAAATAGGGCAATCGACCCCAATCTAATTAAAATCAGACCTCAGTTCTCGCTACTGCTAAACAAAGATCTGAGGACATCCCATTACGGGTCACGTCAGAACGACCTTTCATCCGACTAATCAGAGCATCGCTTACCAGATCATTTTCTAATCATGCAGCCTCGAAAACTTTAACTCCGAACGATAGTTACGGGTTTAACGACTGTATCCATAAATCAAAGATCTGATTTTAATGAGATTGAATCCACCCAAATCTGCATGGCAGTTTACGGACCGGTTGTCGATTTCATTACGCGATTTTGATTGGACTATGCATAGACTCGTTAGACCAGCCCAAATTTAACTCCATGATTCCAGCCTAGTTTGGCAAGGGTGGAAACTGGACTTTCAGTGAGTGAGTGAGTGAGTATGGTTTTACGCCGCTTTTAGCAATATTCCAGCAATATCACGGCGGGGGACACCAGAAATGGGCTTCACACATTGTACCCATGTCGGGAATCGAACCCGGGTCTTCGGCGTGACGAGCGAACGCTTTAACCACTAGGCTACCCGACCGCCCCTGACTTTCAGAGTCAGTTAACTCCCTTGTCTCGGAAAGATTGGGAAGGTTAGCTATCCTGGGCTTGAAAGAAGCCTCTGAGCCCCATGTCTCCTTTAATATGAGTGAATTCTCAAAAAGATGAGGTCGAGATCTTGTGATACTATATGCGACCGAGGGTCTTCCTGAGACGTTATATATCAGCTCTTACTTACACATTGCCGTGGCACATCAGTCAACTCTCACAAGAAGAGAAATGTTGTCAGGAAGGTTTTCGATGCTCATATTTCACCCTCAGTACATGTATCTCAAGGAAAAGCTTGTGCACCACAGGCATCTCAACATAATGGGATGCACCCAAACTGATAGTTGGCAGTGAAGAGGATGTCTGTTGATATATCTAAAAGATTTTGAGTCTAATGGCAGCCAAGAAGGGAATTTTTGGCTATGTTATATGCAATTATGTTTTTTATTTGTCTAGCAATTTAAATGTTTCCATGGAAATAAATAGCAAGAAAATCAAAACCCATTTTCATTCAATTTCACAAGAGAAAGTGTAACTACCTGGACGTTTGGCTGGCTCTGTTCTCTGTGGACTTGAAGGTTGTTCGAAACTGAAACAAAACAAATAAGTTTATCAGGTATTTAATCATTCAAAAATGTCTCACGTCCATGTCAAAATATTCATTAAAGAAGAATACATATAGATTATATTCCATGAAACTATACAACTGTGTAGGATTAATATCACTTACTCTTGCTGATTCTTATCTGCATCCCATGCACGCCTCCACTCTCCTGAGGTAGACTTCTGGCGGTCCATTCTCTCCTGGTCCACACGGTCGCGCTCGGCCTTCCACTCCAGGTACTGCTTCCGCTCTTTCCCTGTCATCGCCATCGCAAGCTCCATCTTGGTGCGAGGGGGCCCCGACTTGGGACGCTCCTGGGACAAGAACACAACACTGCATCCACATCATCACCATGATAAACCTCAGCCTTATGCAATGGCACCATGTGACAGCAAATACAAGGCTATATGGTAGATCACATGGTAGATCACATGGTAGAGATCACAATTCCGAAAGTCTACTGATGTCCAAGATGAAACAGATCATGCTTCACGCTCAAAACTAAGCATGCAGATATGCACCGACGTCCCGATTCAGAATACAACTGTTTGTAATTTACAGGGATCAAAAGCACTAAGAACTTAAGAAACCTGGTCCTATCTAAGGACAATCAGACTTATGTAAGAAATTCTTTCGAGTCGGTTCCTCCGCGAGGTGCTAGAGATGACAAAACACACACAACCAATGCACAAAAGAGACAGAAGCAATCAGACAGGTTAATATGTACGCGACAAATTCATCAAAAACACTTGCTTAAATGATCAAGTAAATTATTACCTGTCGTTCTTTGGTTGTTCTCATTTGTGTTTTAACATTATTAAAATCTTGTCCCCCATAATTCTTGGGGTGTCGTCTAGTGTCAGACTTGCGGATTTTTTCCGCTGGGGATTCTCCATTAGATTCTTTGGCGGGCCCTTCTCTGCGGCGGTCAGCAAGGAAGTTGTAGGAGGGGTCTGGAGGTGGACCCTGGGAAGGGAGGATAACATTAGTTGGTGGAGTATAATATGAGGGTCATTCACATTAGCTACAGTTCTCCTGTCAAGTGCACAAATAAGAATATGATTTACAGTGAAATCAACATTATTTCAAGACTAAAAACCATCATTTTTGGGGGATGGTATATTTTGTTATTTCTGTATTTTGTACCTCCACTGCATGGCCAAATGAAATAGTCCTTCATTTCTCATTATGATACACTTTCCCTGGATCTTTCTACATGAAAACATGGACATGTTTGTTTGTTTGTTTGTTATTAAACACCACACACTCAGCCATATTCCAGCTTTATGACAGCAGTCTGTAAATAATCAAGTCTGGACCAGACAATCCAGTATTTGACATCATGAGCATCGGCCTATGCAATTGGGATATGATGACATGCATCGACCAAGCCAGCCTGACCACCGGATCCCATTAGTTTCCTCATACAACAAGCACACAGGCCCCTTAAGCAGGATAGTGATATTACTGAAACACCGGACCCATGTATATAAATAGACATATGACCTGCATGACGCAAACCTTAATTTGTGCTGTGATTGGTCCATGCTCCAACGATAACAAACGCACATGGGGATATTTACCAATCGAAACGCTCAAGGCCATTTTGTTTACTTCCGTGACCCACAGCCGCGACTGAGCCAGTATTTCGATAAACTCACCCGATATAGGTAATAAATTGCAAAAAATAAAGGTTTGTGGCATGCAGGTCGTATGTGGAGGGAGTTGGGGACGTATTGTGAACATGGCATAGCCGATTTCAACTTTGGCCAAGATGGTGAGTGATGTACCTTGTCTTTTTATATGGGTCCGGTGTTTCAGTAATATCACTATCCTGCTTCAGGGGCCTGTGGACAAGCACAGTCACCTGTTAGGGCAAGCATGGGTTGCTGAAAACCTATATATTCTAACCTGGATCTTCACAGGTCAATCTTTTTAAATCTTACAATGAGAAACCTTATTCCCTACTGAATCACTACAGCTGCAGCAAAATGAAGCTAATTATTCTATGTGTCATTGCAGTCATGCTCCCTCCAGAGTCTGCACACTGAGTGTAGACAGTGGTCACACAAGCAGCATTTCATGCTGGCACCACTGACACTATACACCATCCAGGCAAAAACATACAGTGATGAGAAAACATCATCAACATGAAGCACAGCCAATACACTGGGACAGGTTAATAGGATGTTTGTAAGTACCTCCCTTACCCAAGGGGACAAACAGATAACACCAGGAACATAAGATGCTACCTCACTATATGATGATAATAGAGCTGAATATATATATGGGAAGGTAATAAAAACTAAGCAGGCTATATATCTCCTTTGAGCAGCATGGGCTAAGTCATCTGGTGAACATGACCCAATCAAAGTTAACACAGTGGTCCGTTTGAAGTGTCAATACAGGGTACTACAGCCTGACTGAGAGCGTGCTAAGTACAGTGCATGATGCAAGGAGCCTAACACTTCCACACTGCTTGTTGCCCTGCACTGGACCTGTGGACTCACATCTTCTGGGCCCAGCTTGCTTGAACTTCTCTGGGGTCGACTTGAGGGTATGAGGCGACCTCTCCTTTCAGCCATCTCTTCATGGTCCTCTGAGGTCATTTGGGGTCGTCTGTTTCTCTTGGCAGGGGTGGTCTTCATCTCATGCTTTGCCTCCTCCCCATCCTCCTGCCCTGCTTCATGGGGATCAGTGTGGAACCGGGAGGGGGGGCACCTTGTCATCCCGTCTCCTTCATCACCACCATCATTGGCATCGTCCTCAGTGATGTCAACTTCACCAGTCTGGGGTTGCCAACGTATAACTCGAAAAACACCTTGCTAAAGATGGGATGAGAGTAACATGCCAGTTAGTAGGGAGACTGAGGACAGCATGCAAGGACAGACACCTGTGTACATAGTTTCTTTCAGAAGGGGGTCAGTACAGTCAATGCCATATGTGCTGGCAATATAAGTATGTATAGATCTATTACAGATGTTAGGAAAGTGCATAGTACATAAAATAATTGACTGAAAAATCCAAATATCAGACAAACCCTATGTACACAGGTTTGAAGTGATCAATGATTTGATGACAGACTGTTATTATATATAGCGGCACCTCATTTGCCCAGACTTAGATGGCCTACAAACCTCCCTTTGTTCCCAACCAGCATAATTTGGAAAAACATGTTCACAGGAGACATATCCAGGAATTGATACTTAATACACGGTGAAAAGGGAAATAAGCTCCTCCTAACTGAAAATAAGGACATCTTATGTCTTTTCCACAGAATATGTAGTTGCTGAAGAGACTACATGCATAATGTAGTCATCAAATCACATCAACAATGCAGGCTAGCTAAGTGAAACTGATCGGACATATATGCTTAGATATATATATATATATAAATCAGGAATTGTGAGCAAATTTTGCTGAATCTATGCTTCAGAGCAAGCCTGGATCATGTCCCCCAGCTATTGTACAATTTGTACTATGGGACATAGCTCTTTTATTATTCATGAGCCAAAATGTCTCTGTCATTCCTTGTTCTAAGTGTCTACTGAGTGAAAAAAGTTTCACTGTGAACTGATACAAACCTTTTTATTTAGAGCCTCTTATGCGAATGCCAAAATACCACTTACAATCATTATGGCAAAAAAAACTTTCTAATTTCCTCTTTTCATCTGTTTCACAAATCAAGCAAATCCCCAGTATTCCTTGCCAAGCAAACCACTGCACTAACCTTAGACAACGGAAGACTGACAGGATCATGCATAATCATTTATAAGGAAGCACTCACTACAAACTATAGTAGTATAACAAAAATATTTCTCAAAGTTGACAGAGCAATGATGGTAAAATGCAACAAAAGACATTACAAACTGCCATTGTCACACTGACTGTAATACCGGTGTGACATTGGCAATATGGGTGTAGGTGGACTTACCCATGGAGACTACCCCTGTGGTCTACTCGTGGTCTACCCCTGTAGTCTACTCTTGTGATCTCCCCTGTAGTCTACTCTTGTGATCTCCCCTGTAGTCTTCTCTTGTGATCTCCCCAGTAGTCTACTCTTGTAATCTACCCCTGTAGTCTTCTCTTGTGATCTCCCCTGTAGTCTACTCTTGTGATCTCCCCTGTAGTCTACTCTTGTAATCTACCCCTGTAGTCTACTCTTGTGATCTCCCCTGTAGTCTAGTCTTGTGATCTCCCCTGTAGTCTACTCTTGTGATCTACCCCTGTAGTCTACTCTTGTGATCTACCCCTGTAGTCTACTCTTGTGATCTACCCCTGTAGTCTACTCTTGTGATCTCCCCTGTAGTCTTCTCTTGTGATCTCCCCTGTAGTCTACTCTTGTGATCTCCCCTGTAGTCTACTCTTGTAATCTACCCCTGTAGTCTTCTCTTGTGATCTCCCCTGTAGTCTACTCTTGTGATCTACCCCTGTAGTCTACTCTTGTGATCTACCCTGTAGTCTACTCTTGTGATCTACTCCTGTAGTCTACTCTTGTGATCTCCCCTGTAGTCTACTCTTGTAATCTACCCCTGTAGTCTACTCTTGTGATCTCCCCTGTAGTCTACTCTTGTAATCTACCCCTGTAGTCTACTCTTGTAATCTACCCCTGTAGTCTACTCTTGTGATCTCCCCTGTAGTCTACTCTTGTAATCTACCCCTGTAGTCTACTCTTGTGATCTACCCCTGTAGTCTACTCTTGTAATCTAGTCTACTCTTGTGATCTACCCCTGTAGTCTTCTCTTGTGGACTACCCATGATGAAGATAATTGTGATGCTCTTCTTATGAAATTTCATCTTGGAGAACACAAAGAATTGCCATGGCAGTCAGTACACTTGAAGCCAATGACTAGCAGCACAATGCACAGGAGAACTATTCATGTTATGCAGCAATATGATCCTACCTGTGGCTTCTTTTCCTTGCTCTTCCCGCCTACCTGGGACTTGCCCCTCCCTCCAGTCTTCGGACGGGGTCCACGTTTGTCTTCCCCAGGGAGAAGCTGTAATGACAAAACAAAAAATATCCGACTTCACAGGAGTCTAATTTCATGTAGGGGATAAATGGACTGTGGACCCAATATCGAGGTTTCTAATCTGAAACTTAAGTTGGAGTTATCAAATTTGAACTCAAATTTCAAACAGAACAGAGAGTAGTATATATGTTTGTCTCAATTTTACGATGACAAAAAGACTGAGGTGAGGTCAAAATGATGGCATAATATGTTAGAGGGATCAATGTTGAAAATCAGGTATACTCAGTATTTAGTCCGGCATCTGATAAGAGTGAGTGAGTGAGTGAGTGAGTTTGATTTTACTCTGCTTTTAGCAATGTTCCAGCAATATCACGGCGGGTACACCAGAAATGGGCTTCACACATAATGACATTGTACCCATGTCGGGCATCGAACCCGGGTCTTCAGCGTAACGAGTGAACGCTTTAACCACTAGGCTACATGACCGCCCCCCAACTGATAAGACAGGGGCCAGGAGTCTGAGTCACGGTAAGAGGACTAGACATGACTGACTTCAACTTCTTTTCAGAATCTTTAGCTTTAGACCGATGGTCCACCATTCTTTGGTGTCACTTCTGAAGGTAAAGTTGAAAAGCAGAGTTTGGCAACTTATGACACACAGCACACTGCAAGGTTAAGGTACACTGGCCACAACAGTCACAACACAGTGTATGGGGGTCAGGAGAAGAAAACATGTGTCAGCACTATGGTTCAAGCATGTTTCCACATAGGATTGAAGAAGAAAGAAGAAATGCATAGTGTGAGTTAGGATAAGTTCAAACATTTAGCAACCATCTCCATCAGTCCATTACAGTTAGACTCAGAACGTTTCAGGTACCCCTCATCCGCCAATTGTGTGTCTTGTTGCTCACACTCTCAGGCAGTTGTGAAATTGCTGTCATCATGTCAACATTCACTTCCAACCTGTAGTAGAATAGCACAAGCAGACGTGATGCTGTTCCTTTTGTGTGCTGTCCTACCTTAGATTCTTTCTGAGGGGATGATGACCCAGGACTTGAAGTTTCCCTGGTATAGGAGTTGACATCTTTATTGGGGTTATTTTTGGCGGCAACTCTTTTATCCGCTTCTATTTCCTGTGAGAAAAGAAAGATTATTTCATATGGTCTGGCTAGCATCTCTCAAAAGCTTAATTCTCCCCTGATAATAATACCAATAATATTGTAACCTGTTAACCAGTAACCAGCATCATTCATCTGTGTTATCACTAGTCTTATCATTTTAGAGAAAGAACAAACCTCATGTCTCTTGCGGAGAGCATCATTCTTTTTGCGAATTTCCTCCATTTTCTTTGTGAGAAGAGCCTCTTTTTCCTCTTTAGTGAGGATGTCAAGGAACAACTCCTTGTTCATACTCTGTAATCAACAATTCAATCAGAGTAGGGTGCATGGTAGGCTACTATAAAAATGGGAAACATGAATCAATGTCATGATAAATTTTCACACAGTGAACGTAAAGCCACATCATCTAACAAATGTCAACAAGGTTCCTACAGATATGGACCCCTAAAACTCAAGGTCTTTTCAAGGACCTTCAAAGCTTTCAACTGTCATTTTCAAGGCTTTTTTAGTTGTGTTATAAGTCTTTGGCACACTGCCAAATCTATCACTGTGGTACATCATACTTAACATCCTTGATACATAACTATAATTTTTGTGTGTTTTAACATGTTTAATACTTATATTAACAAGGTTATGTCATTTTGAACAAATTTAAATAGTAATAGAAAACATCACAACAGATCTAGAAAAATTTCTTAAACCCATCTTGTCTCCTGCACAGTAATGAGATATTATTTTGGACTCATCCTGCAATATTTCACTTGCCCTTTTAAAGTTTCATGTTCTGAGTTATTACCATGATTACTACCATTTTCTGTAATTAACCTTTGAGTTGACGACAGACAGTACAAAGTAATTCACAGTCACTGTCATCTACGTTCAAACTGCCCTTCCTTATCTTCAACACTTTACTCACATCCGCCATTTTGTTTGAGGACCCAAAGAGCAGGTGATAATGTGAAAGCAGATGGCCAATTTGATCAGTGCATGGTGGAGTTATCTGCCCCTGGTTTACCTGCAAGCAAAACCAGACTTCATGTATATATACATACATATACATAAACACAAACACAAACACAAACACAAACACACACACATACACATACACATACATATACATATACATAAACACATACTTAAACACATACACACACACATACATACACATACATTTAAGGATTGACTGTATTTTTTTCAGTTCATTGAAGTATGAATCAAAAAACAGATGTGCAAACTGTATGAATCGGCATAGCGGATTCTTACAAAAGTTTGCACATCGGTAAGGAAAATCCATTTTGTTTCATGTAGCAGCTAGACAACATCAAACACCAGAACCAAAGCATTTATTTACTTATAAGTCAGATGAAATGTTACAAGACCAGGCAAAAATACTAAATTAATTATATTGCTGATAAATGCAGGGATTAAAAAGAAAATAGAAAGACGAGTTGATCTTAAACACTGATCGAGAATTCGGGGAAAACCCGGAAAGCAGTTCCGGCAAAAGTTCACACGATCAATTTCACAAAAAATTGTGTGAACTTTTTCTGTGCATTCACAGGTGTGTGAACTCCAAATATCAGATCACGTGACTACCCCTTCAGTCAATCAGCATAAAAGAAACAGTGTAAACTTCAAAGTATCAAATTATATACATATACACATACATATACACATACACATACATGTATACATACACATACACATACATGTACATATACACATACACATACATATACATATACACATACATAAACACATACACATACATATACACTTACATGTACATATACACATACATATACACATACATAAACACATACACATACACAAACATATACACATACATGTACATATACACATACACATACAGGTACAGATACATATACACATACATGTACACATACACATACACATACATATACATATACATGTACACATACACATACACATACATATACACATACATATACACATACATACATGTACATGTACATATACACATACATGTACATATACACATACATATACATATACATATACATATACATGTACATATACACATACATATACACATACATGTACATATACACATACATATACACATACATGTACATATACACATACATATACACATACAGATACATATACACATACATATACACATACATACATGTACATGTACATATACACATACATGTACATATACACATACATATACATATACATGTACATATACACATACATATACACATACATGTACATATACATATACATGTACATATACACATACATATACACATACAGATAGATACATATACACATACATGTACATATACACATACATATACACATACAGATACATATACACATACATATACACATACATACATGTACATGTACATATACACATACATGTACATATACACATACATATACATATACATGTACATATACACATACATGTACATATACACATGCATATACATATACACATACATATACACATACATGTACATATACACATACATATACACATACATATACACATACATATACATTTACAGATACACATACATGTACATATACACACATACTCATACAGATACATATACATATACACATACACATACATATACACATACATATACACGTACATATACACATACATATACACATACATATAATTGTACATATACACATATATGTACATATAAACATACATATACACCTACATATACATATACATGTACATGTACACATACACCTACATATACACATACACATACATATACACATACATGTACATAAACACATACACATACACATACATATACACATACAGACATATACACAGACATATACACATACATATACATGTACATATACACATACATATACACATACACATACAAATACATGTACATATACACATACACATACAAATACATGTACACATACACATACATGTACATATACACATACATATACACATACATGTACATATACATACGCACATATATACACATACATATCCATATACACATACATGTACATGTACATATACACATACATATACATACATATACATACATATACATACACACATACACATACATGTACATATACACATACATATACATATACACACATACAGACATATACACATACACATACATATACATGTACATATACACAGACATATACACATACACATTCAAATACATGTACATGTACATATACACATACATGTACATATACACATACATATACACATACATGTACATATACACATACATATACACATACAGATACATACATGTACACATACATGTACACGTACACATACACATACACATACAGATACACGTACACATACATATACACATACATATACACACATACATATACACACATACTCATACATATACACATACATATACACATGCACACATATATACACATACACATACACACATACTCATACATATACACATACATATACACCATGATACACATACTCATACACATACATATACTCATACATATACACATACACATACATACATATATGGCCATCAGAAACTCAAGCTCAACATAAACACATGGGTGAGTAAGTGTTGATTTCCAAAAATATGTTCCCTCATGTTGAATTCTTATCTGCTCCTTTCTTGTGCCCTGCATGGTGAGGTGAACAACGCTTACCAAAAATACAGGAACAATCCTGTTAAAATTTATATAGTGTTACGTTTGTGTATGTATGCAGAGTGGTAGTCTAGTTGTAAAAGCATTTGTTTATCATGCTGAAATGCTGAAGGCCTGGTTTTAATTCCCCCCATTGGCACAATGCATGAAACCCATTTCTGGTGTACCTGGCTGTGATATTGCTGGAATATTGCTAAAAGCAATGTCCTTATAAAAATTCACTCGCTCACTCATACATGTACAAAGGTGAAAGAGCAAAGGTCATGATAGTATCAAAGATGATATAGACATCTACAGATGTGATTTGTCAACTGTGATCACCAGTCTCTCCTCCTACCAAGGCCATGACCAGGCACCTGGTGCTCCAGCTGACTGAAGCGAGAACATTGGAGATGTAGGAGATGTAGGAGATGTCCAGGGAGCAGAGGAGCCCCCCCCCACACACACACACACACCCCACCTAACCATGTGCTGTGATGACCTGGCTGGGAGGTGAGCCTGGCTGCAGAGGGCCTCCTGTCTGCTGCTGCTGCACTACACTGCTGAGAGGAGGTTCACGCATTGGGAATCTCACTACGGCTGACACACTGACATCTCTCTCACTGGGAAGCCATTGACAGGCAAAACACCATTTACTGACAGTTGGCCTCTCGCCAACATGGCCAGCAACAGTTCAGCATTGTTGAGTGTGGAGTTCTTTACAACTAGCAATGAGACATATGGTTGCTTATAATGGATTGGTCAGGTTACATTCACTGCAGCTAGAAAGATTTCAGTCATAAATGCAGTTAGCAGTCGTGAGTTATTTTGCAAGAGACATATTACAGCTGTGACATCTGACTGCCAGGTTATGGAACCAACTGATGGTTGATAGTGTGAGCATCACCTTCATAGACAGTTGATGCCACCATCACCCAAACCAACCCAAGCAACTTCACCACGGACCACTTGGCCATAGGATTTTGAAACATTGTTGTGTTTTTTTACAATTTCTTAAAGGGATATCAAACAATAGTTATCATGGAGTATAATTCTAAGAATACTACCTCTATTACATCATAGCCATACATTCCTGTTTGGCTGTCAATAACAAATTTATTTATATTTTGAACAGACATCTTCTTCATTGCCAACATATCTAATACTTGTAAGGGTTATCATCCCCAACAGGAACCACAACTGTGCATGCGCAAGCCTCGTCATACCAAAAGATGTTAAAAGATGGTGCTTGTTGTTACCCTGCCTGGTGCTCGGCATTAAGGGGCTTAAACAAGGACTGGTCAGCTCGGAGTCAGTATACTGTGTCTGAGTGGGCTATTCATGTTAAACTGGGGCATTGTATCTCAGTATATAAATCGGCATCAGACCAAACTAGTACAAGCAGCAACACACACACACACACACACACACACACACACACACACACACACACACACACACATCTCTATATAAGTGCAATACACACATCTCTATATAAGTGCAATAATCTTGGACATGTCGTTAAACCCCATTTTGCCTCACCTCACAAAATACACTAGATGCAGATTATTGGAGAGGTGGGAGGGACTAAATCATGATTCAGTATTCTTAGAATTATACACAATGATAACAATTGTTTGATAATTACTTCGAATACCCTACTTCTATTACATCATAGCCAGTATACACCAGTGGGATCTGGCATCTAGTATCCCAAGATAGTTGGCAGCAGTTGAATGGGAAATATATATGGAAAGAAGCGGAAGTAATTGCCTCATAACTGTTCTCGATTACTAGATAGGCTTATATGACGTCAAATATTGAAACCTTGCAGTTGTAAATGTCGTATCTTGACATAACTTAGCTTCTGATGTCACATATGAAGTCACTTACGGTTTGTCGATAATTACTGACATTTCTGCAAGTTCTTAGGTTTTCTTGACGTTACTTCTGGTTTATATTAAGTGTAGCATCTTCTGATCAACGTAATAGCGACCTTTTCCCCTTCTAGGTCTTATAAACATTATGACATCATCTCTTACTTTGTCTTCATATTGCTTCCCATCAGTAATATTTGAATGATCTAACGTTATGCCAGTTATGAGGTTGTCCTTTGACGTCGGTAACTGGAGGATAGTACAATGATACACTCTAGGGTATCATATAGAAACCGTATATTACTTATTTCCAAACAATCTATGATTTCCGTGTTAGCCAATGATATGATACGCATTAGTAGCCTCATCTTCTCGAGGCAAGGGAGCTAACTGACTGAAGTCCAGTTTTCTTCCTTGCTGAACAAGGCTTGGAGTTACATTTTGGTTGGGCTAA